TCTCTCTCTCTCTCTCTCTCTCTCTCTCTCTCTCTCTCTCTCTCTCTGTGTGTGTGTATTTGTGTGTGTGTGTGTTGCTATTGCTGCTGAATTAGTACTTTTGTTATCTGCATCTGAGTCGGAATCTAAATGTGCGATGCGGTGTATTTGTTTGTATGCCCGCCGATCTATTTAATGCAAATTTATGCGTTTGTTCGCTCTGCATATTTTTCTTTTGACTTGGTTATGAATAGAATGAATATTGTGCAAATTTATCGTTGTTCACGCACAAATTCTCTCTCCCACTTGCTCTTTCTCTCTTTCTCTCTTTCTCTGTGTGTCTCTTGTGCGGCGTTGTGGTGAAATGCAGTGAAAAAGAAACTACAACTAAATACAAAATATGCTACGATTCCATATAGAATCTGGCAGAGTGCATCAAAAGTCTGATTCTTTTTTGTTGATTTGTTTGCAATTTAATCATTGTGATGTCATGACGCAGAAAGATCAACAGAACAAAAAACAATCAGATTTGAACATTCAAAAATACAAACAAAGACGATTTTATGGTTTTCGTTTCACGAAAGCAGCTAGGGAAAGGTTGAAATATTTCGCGTGAAAGTATTGCTGTTACGCTTAAACCATGGCAAAAGAATGCAAAAGTGTGAATCATATCCACCCGGTGAACGAAATGATAACGGGAACTTTCGCATTTAATTCAGCTTTTAGCTCTCATCGTTTAATCAATTCATTTTTGCATCAAATCCGAAATTATTCATAGAATTTTCGTGCAGCGAACTCAACATGGTGTCCCATGGGACTATGATGATCGTTATCTCATTTCTTCCCAAGTATTTTTTTTCATCTAGAATTCTCTCATTATAAATTCATAGGTTCTTAGGAACACTCTCTTTCTCTCTCTTTCTCCACATCGATAAAAACTTTTCTTTTTCTAATCACATATCAATTACACGAAACATACATTTTATATATTGTCAAGGTGTATCGACAACTGAAAATATTCTTCGATTCGTTAATGCTGTTCCAATTGGGACAAGGGATTCTATTGAATATATGTGATTTAGAAAAAACAACATGTAATCATTGATCATCACAATTGCTGTTATCGAAATTCACTCTCTTATTTGCTACTCGGCTTCGATGATGGGTCGCTTTGCGAAATAGATAAAAACAGAAGGAGAAAAAATTCTCACTTCTTCTAAAAATGAATTACGAAAATCAAAACAAATATGTGAATTTGTTATTTCAGCTGCAAGAATTTTAACGGCGTAACAATCAATTAAATCAAAAATTAAAAAATCATAAAAAAATTGGACACATCCACACACACAGGCGAACATTCAGTTTTATATACATATAAAGATTGACTTGGATTATTCAATGTTCTTTAATTATCCAATAATGCTTAAATTGGCAGTAAATGAATTCGATACGCCAAATTTGAGCAAAAAATGCGATTGTTGAAAGAACATCTAAACTGAGTTTACTGCGTACAACATCTCTTTTACGGTAACAGCAATTCGTACACGAACGAGTCAGTGTGACGGTTGGTGTGAGCGAGACAGGATTTGACAGCAAACAATTTGGTTATATCAGTTTAAATGTTCTTTGCATATTATTGAAATAGCTCTGTTTCAAAACGATCGAAATACTCCTTCGCTTCAAATAAATATCTGTGACGAAATTCTCCAAAGCCGTTTGTACCTTCAGTTAAATAACATTTGATTTAAAACCACAAAGACACTAATTATTTCAATTTGTTACTGGGAGTCTATGCAAATGAACGTATAACAACAACAACAACAGAAAAAAAATATGACAAAATTGAGTTAACTTTTGTTGCACTAGGAACACAATTAAAACACGAAGCAACGTTGTCTCGGCACACCGTTGTCTCGGCACACCGTTCGTTGAGAAATTAAATAAAAAAGCGTTCGATGTAAATAAACACTTGAATATGTACTGATGCCGATCCCATTCAGAGAGAGAGAGAGAGAGAGAAAGAGAGAGAGAGAGAGAGAGAAAGAGAGAGAGAGAAAGAGAGAGAGAGAGAGAGAAGAGTAGATAAAACAAACGACTCAGCCACACATTGATGCATTCAAATGCGATAAAAGAGAGAGAGAAGAAGCGAATGATCGAATTGGCATGGTATTTGTGCGCACGTTGTCGATCGCATCCACATACAAATGCACAGATCGCATTGCTTCATACACTACCAGATGCTCGAATCGAACAAACAAACATAGACAAGAACCGAGACCGGCGGAGCGCTGTTGCGCTAATCACCAAATACGTTTAACTTGGTTCCCCCTTTAAAATTGAGAAATAACAAACATTGCATGCATTTTTTCATTATTCTCATTTCAAGAGCTGTATCTAGTCGATGCCGCAACCAACACACTGAAAAAACATCATATGAATGTGCCATTCTCATTGTGTGTTGCGTTTGTTATACATTTGATTCGGACCCCACCTATGTGTGTGTGCTGTAGTATGTGTATTTTGCTGTCATTCAAGTTTAGCCATAGCTTCGGAATAAAAACCGTGTGCTTTTATGGTACGTATCTTTGCTAGGCACAGTAATTGGAAAGCTTCAAAAGAAAACACCTGAAATTCCGCATAAATTCATTGGGCAATTTTGTTGATCGACCGAAAACAGAATTGCATTTCTTCTCAATAGCAAAATTATATTTCTTTTTACAGTAAAATCGCTTTTGTTCTGAATTTAGAGATCAGTTTATTATTGTCTTGCGTTTCTAAATTTAGCAACGGTTCATTTAAATTTCTAATAAAACAGGGATTATCATTGAAATTAAACGACCTGAAACGATTTTCGTTTAAATGATTTATTATATAGGTTTTTTTTTATTATTGTTGTTATCAATATCACATTTCAATTGAAAATATTTCATCGGAATTATGTATTGCATTTGTGCTGATTTTATACATTGTACACATGTTTGTAACGCTAATTTGTCTCCTATCTGTGCGCTCAATCTTTGTTTCTATCTCTTTCATTATGGAATTAAATGGGAAAATTACGCGGAAAAAAAATTATGCGATTTCGCTCGATATTCGATAGCAAACCCTATTTTCTTTTTAAAATAATAATTGGACTAAGCATAAATGCACTTGAAATCAAGTGTTTTTCAATTTAATTCTTCTGACAACTTCAGATGATATCTCAATTCAAACAATTTTAGCAACTGCAAGAAACAAAATAATGGTCTTGGAAAAAGAAGTAACAATAAAAAAAAATGCATTGTTTTCTTTCAATGCATGACCAAAAATCTATCAAATGGTTATGGGCTAAACAAATCATTGAAAGGAAATTCACTGCGGATGGAATGACAAACTGATGAGCGCGCTGCCAATTCAACATATTTATGAACGAACTAAAAATAGCACCCATTACATTTAAATGGAATTTTTTCGAATTAAACTCAACGCATTTTACTTAAATAATAAATAAAATTTAAAAAAAGGAATGTATTGCTTATCTGTTTCTTTTAAAAAGTTTCTCTTTGATTGCGATTATTTTGGGTTGTGATTTTTTTCGTTTCTCCATTCAATTGAATTTTTCTCTATAGAAACAAGAAGACTTGGGCGGTTTTCCACTTTACATTAAGTTTAATCAGTCAAATGTGTTTTTCTTCCTTTAATTATTATTCTTTTTTTTTATACAAGAAAACACTTGTAACAGTGGATTGCCCAAAATCGAAATGAATCCCATTGCTCTCTACATCTCTCTCTCTCTCTCTCTCTGCTTCTTTCTCGCTTATTCGCGCCGATTATTTAAAAAAAATTATTTACAAAAATTGTTTATAAGTTTGTGTTGGCCGTGTTTTTCTTCGCCCAAATTTTATTGCTGGGCTAGTAGTTGCCAAACTATTTAATTCGATCCGTATCGAAATAAAGTCTAATTAAATAAAATGAATTTATTTATTTAAAAAAAAATCCTAAATTTTGCCGATTTCGTTTCCGTGTCTTTGCCTACGAAGATGTGGATGAAGATGGCAAAGGTGGTGCTGATGCTATATTGCCACTACTACTGCTGCTTCCATTGGCCATGGCATCTGATGCCGCACAAGGGGCAACGACAACTTCAACACCACCTTGAGTCGCATCGTTTGATAATGAGTTGGCCGTTGGCTGGGCCGAGCTTGTTGATTCGGCATCAACGCTTTTGTTGCCTGGAAATAGTGTTGCGTAGGATGGTGGCGGATCGATTTCATCGTAGTTTGGCGGCAACGTTGTTTCCGGCTGAGGACCGTTGAAATTCGCATTTGAACTGCTGCCTGTAATTGTCGATATATTAGATGATTCTAATGTGGTTAAGGTTTTGTCGCTTTTACAACAACATTCTGAGTAAAAGAGAGAAAGAGAAATGAATAGGTAATCATTAGTGTTCAAATGTTTCGTTCGGGTTGTGCGAGTGATTTTATTTCTCTCTATTCATTCTATTGAATATATTGATCAATGTTTGCCAGGCGTTCACCAGTTAAACTTTATACTTTCGATCTCGATTGTGATTAGCATTGAATTTTCACAAAGCAATAAGATGCTGTTTTATTCTCAGCAGAATCACTTTGAACTCGATTATATACGCGAAAAAATACTGTTCCTTTGAAAACAATGATCAACATATTCCGCGATGAACATATCTGTGTTTCGGTTAGTTAGGTGAAATGGAGGTCAATGTTGCAAATGAAAATGGTTGGAAAAATGGATTGTGTTGGTGGAACGAAGGTTGTTGTTGCAAATGATCATTACCCCAAAGTACACAGACTAACAGTGCTCCACCACAAAGCAACATGCCAAGGATTAGGTATCCCCATGGACCATATTTCGATAAACCTCTCGATAGTGTAATGTGACGATAGTGTTTTGTCGTTGATGACTCCATTACACCATCGTCGGTTGTGTTATTTTCGCTGGAATCGTCGTCGATGCCATCATCATCTTTGCTCGGTGACGTCGGTTTTTTGTGCATCGTCGATGTTGGTTTCATTGGTGATTTTGTCGGTACGGTCGTTGTTGCATCGGGTGGATACAATTTACTGAAAAACTCTTTCGAAATTTGCTGCCAAATGCTCAATCCAAATGATGTCTAAAATTAAATGAAGTCAATGAGAGATCAAAAATGTCTTTTTAATTACGGACAAAACATGAAATTCATTTCTTTTTCAATTAACCACGAATGAACATACATTTGAATCGGTGAATCCTCGCTTTTGTGCACACAAATTGGGATCCTCATCGCTGTTGTACTCATCTCCCGACGGACAATGATTAATACCATCACAAACTAGACTCGATGACACACAAAATAGCGTCTCTTGCCTGCGTGCGTTCAATAAAATTCGAATCGTCAACATTTCATTAAGCTAATCAAATTTGAATTGCAACATTTTTGGTTAATTGATACGAACCCGAATTTCAAGCATGGGTGTTTCCCTTGATTACAATGATAGCCTTTGCCAAGCGTCGTAATTATGAGTTTATATTTTGGCGAATGGCGATTCGGTGTCCACGATATACGCAGCAAACCTTCAGTTAATTTAACCATCTCTTTGTTGATGCCGTGCGCCTCCATTTTACACGGATCCAATTTCCATGGCGGTGTCAATGGATCTTTCCCGGTCATCTAGTCCATATCAAAGCAAAGAACAAGAAAAAAAAAACAACGTCAATATCTTAATTACGAAAAGAATCTAGGATTTCTTTTACGTCTTTAGGTCATTATATTATTTTTTGTGTATATATCGTTAGTTAGTTAAACTGAGCTGCTGTTGTTGCTTATTTTAAAAAGAAGAAAAGTTGGTCCTAAACAGGATTGGAGGTCGAATGCTGCCAGCCAGTTTGACAACTTTGTGAACTATTTTATTACGAAAAATGGTGATTCAGCTATTGGAATTTTCGATACTTAAGTGGTACATTCAATAGAACCAATCACACTGACTCATCTTGATCGAAGATCACATCGCATCGAATCGAAGCACAAAGTGAATGCAACCCAGCAACAGCATCAACGCACCACCACCAGGAGCAGCAGTGTTGATGTGCTGTTTTTTGGGGGCAGTTTTTGGAAGATTCCATCGAATTGACAAGCATTCCATGGTCAATGACGTTGTTATTGGCAACGTAATTGGCTTCATCTTGAGTGGTTTTTGTATGCCATTGTCAAAAATAAAATTTTTGATGAGTAATCGTGCAACCCAAATGCGAATTGCTATAATTTAGCGATAGCGTTGAACGTGTTAACGTAGTCACAGAATGGGCTAGAGGCAGGCAATAATTGGATTCGATCATCAGCCACTTATCGTTTATGCTGTTTTTTTTTTTCTTCTACTGTTGTTTTTACTAATTCCGAGCAATGACAGAAAAATGTTGTCGCTGCTCGTGCAAAATAAATGCTGAACAATGGTTGCGCATTGCGCAATATTCGATTGAAAGCTCACACATCGAGAAAGAGAGAAGAGAAAAAAATAACATGTGGCTAATTGAACAAACAGTTAAAATGAAATGTTCCGTCACGTAAAAGGTGGCCAATGCCATTAAAAATATCGTGTATTTTTCCTTTGAAAGTTAGTCGATTGTTTTGCGAAATGCCGTAATTATGATATGTTTGACATATGGGCTTGTTGCTTTAGTGAGAAATGATACGTTGAACGAAATTCTTGAGAAAAAAAAATTCGGTGTTGTTTTCTGAATGGAACAGAAAGTAGCGACGGTGGCGATGACGGTGATGTGACAGAAAAAAAAAACTAATCTCGCTTCAAAATGTTGCCACTATTCAAATTTCTTGAATATATTTCAATGTGATCTTACAATTCATAAGTGTTTTTTTGTTGATGTCGTTGTTGTTGCCGATGATCTAAGCGAGAGCAGATCGATCGCTGGCAAACGAACGAACGATCGCTCATAGCTACGATCGATTGATTGCGGCTCATATTTCAATCAAATAATTTTTGAATGCACACAAATTTTATGGAATGAGATAGAAAATCATTGTTTGCTATCAACAACATCTCGACGTATTGGTTCGAAAACACCGTTCGGTGACGTTTGCACAAATCGCTTTGTTACAACTTATTAGATATTCAATGAATAATCTCAATTCATAAAGTATTCGGTATTTCTACCGTCACCGTCACCGCCGCCGTCGCATGCATGCACAAGCATCACCAGCCCATATGTGATCGATGTATCGTTGTATGTGTGTGTTTGACCCAATCGATGTGTGCGTATATGCCGATGTGAACGAGTAAGCTTTATGCGGATTTCGATCTCTCACTCTCAACTTTCTATGAACAATGAATGGGTTTCGTGACAAGTTTATGCGAACAAAAATATCAATTGAAATTGTGCAAGTGCCTTGTCAATGCAAATTGCAGATCTTGAAGAGCGAGTGCATGTTATGCCAAAGATCACCCGGCGATGACTTCAGCAATCGGATACAGTAATTTATACTATGTAGTAATGATTCACATGATTCAAATCGATACTAATCTGCGATTCTGTTGTCAATAATTTTTTTCTTCTTTTTTTGTATTTTCAATAATTAAATCAAGTCGATTAATCGATGTGCAGTTGGCACAGCCCGCTCAATATCATCTGTTTATTCGATTTCTCTGTGTAGCAGAACCTCCTCCTTCCAGAAAGTCGTCGCCAATTGTCTCATATCAATTTATTAATTTTTTCTCTTTGCCCTTCGTTGAGCCGTAGTTTATTTTCCGTTTAAGATGATCGGTGTTCGGTTTCAAAACGTGTGTTTGATTTTCTCAACTGGCGACAATTGACATTCAATAGAACACATTATGACGACTTTTGCGTCGTACTGCAATTTTATACTTGAACGAAAATAACTTTTATTGTCTATTGTTTTCAATTTTTAAATCGCTACATTTGGTATGGTATTTCGGTACGTGTATGTGCACGGAGCCAAACTCGTAACTCTTCAAGGGATTTCGAAAATGTAACACGTAAATAAGGCGAATTGGATTGCAAAATTCTGGAACATTTCGGCATTCCATAATGGAGAGTTAGCGAGAAAAAAATATGTGTGCATATCTTAATGCCATGGGGCTTACGTTTTGGCTTAAGCATTCAAAAGAAATGTTAACATCAATGCTGTGCGAACTTGTGTCACAAACACAATGAAACATTATTATCATTCAACATGTCGCTCTGGACGACACATTTTGTTATTGTGTGTTTTAATTTTCGCATTGTTCGACCGTTGCTTTCGAAAAACCGTCGAGATTAGTTTTGCACATATACAAACCTATCACTACCGTCGCGCGCATCGAACAGCTTAAGAGCTTTAGATTCTTCTCTCAGTTTTTTTTTTTGACAACGATCAACAGAAAGACCTTCAATTCATCGGCGGCGCTGCTGTCACTTTTTTTGGTCGTCCGCTTCATTTTTAATACTATGCTTTTATTGTTCAAAACCGCTTCACCTAATGTGTGTTTGTTTTTGCTGATTTGCGGCGCGACGAAAAACCAAATGTGTATGGCTGTACATGATCATTGATCAAGCGAACAAATGCCTTAGTAACAACAAAATCAATGATTCCGCATATGAGAGCGCGCGCACACGCCTCATACGCAGATATCCAAGATCGTCAAAGGTTTTCATGCTATTGCTGTAGTCGTCGTTGGTGCTGTAGCTGCTACTGCTACTGCCACCACTGCTGTTGCTTTTTTCCTCTGTTTTTGGCTTACGTGACTTTGCCGTAGTCTTGTATTGGAAGCTAAGCAAAAATGTACGTATTTCACACGCAACAAAATTACGTGGAGATTCGATTTAACCGAGGGGAGAAAAGAATGCGAACTACTTGAATTTTGTACACATTTCTTGACGGCGCCTTTTCGCCAATATGGTCAATTTCGCAGACAAAACATGGCATGATTCGTTTTAAATGAAAGAAGAAGAAAACAAGCGAGAAGTCATTCATTTTTTACGCCGTGACCAGAAAAAGCGTGTTTATGCTGACCGATCAAAGCTAGAATTTTCGAGGTTTGGTCATGCACACACACACACACACACACACAAGTACTCACACGATTTCGGTGGCTCGCTCTCGATCGACTTGATTGGAAGGGATTTCATTTTTTAAGTTGAGACTATCATTGACAGTCGTAAAAAAGTTGCGTTTCTCTCTTGTGCACACCGTATGTGTGTACTTGAATAATCCAAAATGTAGGTATATCGGTCGCCGCGCTGTAATAATTGCACCGCTTTTCCCTCTCTTTCGCGCACATTTCACGCGCCAATTACATTCTCCTCGTCATTCGTCGTAGTGTTTATGATTTGTTGTCCATCGTTTATTTTTCTTATTCTTTCGCTGGTCTTTTTTCATTTTCTTCTCTCGCAATAAATGAGGTGTGCTACTTTGAATTCGAACAGGCTCATTTACTGCGCTGCGCCTGGATAAGCGCCTGTTTTTCTATTTCTATTTACAAAATTCCATGTCATATGCTTCAATAGCAAATTGATTAATTGTCGACATTAATTGATTTCATTCCACGTGTAATCGTAGAATTCAACACCCTCCGAACAAGCATTCACACGCGCAACACAAATCGAACAAACACAAAGGCCTGATAAATCAGAAAAATATGTCATGAGCAATGAATCGGTAATTTCAAAAGGGCCCATCGACACACATACACACTATGCAGATACACACAGCTGGTATTCTATCGAGCAATAATATTCTCGAATTTCCAAACACTGATTCTAATGAATTCGCTCATTATGAGTTCTCTTCTCTTGATCATTCATGAAAATAATCATGTGTGCGGTGGCGGCTCGTGCTTTGATTAGAGTCTTCAGCGTCATCAAGTCATATTGTTGGTTGGTTGTTGCTATGTTTTGTTTGTTTGTTTTTTCTTCTGCCGTTGCTTCTGTTGAAATCTAATATATCGATAAATAAATGCACGAGACCGTGAACAGAACTTAACTACTTAATTCGCTCATAATATTAGCGAGCACTTGATAAATAATGGTAATGTTCAAATTGGTAGCCGCAACCCGTGATTGCACTTATGACGCCGGTCGACTTGATTTCACGGTACGGGGCTAATTATTATGGGCCAGACAGAATAATCATGCTTCGTTACTCTCACCCGACGATTGTGTTTTGATCAAGAGAGAGAGAGAGAGAGGGAGAGTGATCTCTCAAGAGTGTGCAAATGCTGTGTGTCGCTTGCTATTTGTTTGTTCATTTCGGCCAAGCGCAAGCGATCAATTCATTTTGCCGCTCAGTCGATGTGACATAGGAGCTGGAACCGACGCTGGCCAATGCCCACAATACTCACACCCATTTGAATGCATTGTATGCAACATTGCCGATGCCTGCTACGGTGGCCAATATATATTCTTAGAAAACCGGTTCTCAAGTTGTTTGTTGCTCTTAATTTTTCACGTCTGCGCATTCAATCAAATTGCACTTTGTTTACGCCAGGCCACATCAAATTCAGTGGAAGATTGTAATCGGCACATTTTATGTTTGTGCATGTGATTTCTCCACGTTGCCGCTTCTCTCTCTCTCTTTTATCCTTCACTTAATCTCTGATTCCAATCCATTGCTATTTACATGGTAATGAATTGAAAACGAACAAAAACACTATATCTATTTAACATCGGTTGAGAGGCATACAAACGGTCGATTGGCAATTAAATTATTGCAAAATTGTTAGAAGTTGACGTTCCAGTCTTTATTAAATGTGCTTGAGGAGTTCAACCGCTCAGCAACCACACTAAAACACAAAAATTATTTCCATTTGTAAATGAACGATAAAAATAAAGTTGAAATGGGCAGCGCCGTTTTTATGCAAATCCATTTCTATTTATGAACTAAAATTGAATAAAATAAATAAAAAGCCCTGCAGCTAGGCTAAGCAAGCTCGAGGCTAAGAGTTCTTCATTCATTATTTGGTGAGTGTCTGTGTATTGTGGAGGAACTCCATCACCAAATGCTCAAAATAAAAATGATTTAATTGCAATATGCAAAATGTAACAAAATAACATGAGATTTCTCATACGTGCACACTGTACTGTACATGCCCGTATCAATTCAATATGCACAATTTCATTTAAATGGGTTTTTTTTTCTGTGTGTCATCTATTCTTCATTGCAAGCACAAACAAAAACAATCATTAGTCTGCTGCTCTTTGTTGTCGATTGAATGAAATGCGTGCACATAGCACACGATGACGATGTGTGATTGTTTGTGTATCTACCTTGAAATCAACGATTTCAGTTAGCCATGTGTTATTTTATCGTAATTTCTGCTCGTAAAGCTTTCAAAATCTATGTCGAGATCAAATTTTCGATAGAAACTTGCACGAAATAAATATATATAAAATATATTTTATTTTATTTTATTTTATTTTTCTGCCTATCAACGTAAAATAATTCTAACCCACACCAGTTCAATTTGCTAATGTTTGTTTTGTACTACGCGGTAGGTACACTTTGTTTTCCGAATACCAAAACTGGCAACTATACAATCTATATATGTCTAGATAAAAATATATATTCGATTGCTATCAAATAGCAAGTATTTAGTGAAATAGTGTTTACTGTACATTCCTGCCTCGTTAACATCAAATGTGTTCGCACAATCGCAGATCGATCAAAATACTGGATTGACAATACATTGTTGGAACTGAACACTAATCGGATTATTTATCGTTCAGCTCGAAGCGTAATACAATGGAAATGGGAAAATATATGCCGTAGTGACATAAAAAATGACGGATCTTTTATTTGTTTGTTACTTTAAATAAGCCCATTCTTCATCGATGCATTCAATTGAACTAAAAATATGCTTGAATTTTATCTTTTCGCTAATTGTCCAAATAGAATCGGCCAAATCCGTTTCTTTACCCTGATGTGTTACTTGTAAAACTAACAGTCAAACAAAAAGAAGACAAGTGAGTGTTTTCTTTGTGTACACTTGAGAAGCGATGATATATTTTGAATGTGGATTTATTTGTGATCGGTTTTGGATAATAACGAGATACAAAGGGAGAGAGATAGAATTACGCCATACAAACTACGCGTTACATGAACCAGACGACGTTGCGTAAAATGCGTAAAATACGTCTCGATTTTGTTGTTCCTGATAATTCGGTAATTATTCTCCCTTTAAATCGAGAATCCGCCATTTGAACATTTTTAAATTACCAGTTAAGACGTCTTTTTATTTGCTTGTGTTTTTGGGTTCAAAACAGACAAATTATGATGAGAAAAAAAAGAGCTAAATTTAATTGCGATTTATTTGAAGTAGTTGTCTGTGGAATATCCAGAGTTAAACTAGAAACATGATCATACTATGTATTGTGTTGTTTGATGTTTGAGCATCAGTGAGATAGCATCAGCATAAACAAGTTAAACTCATTAAGCAGTTGGATTTTTTGTTTTGTTTCTTCACACGAAAACATCTACACACCTCGCGCGTACACACACGGCTTATTGCCGCATACGTCGCCCGAATAAAACGCGCGACATTCATTCAGGGAGGGACAGGGAATTCATAGAAGCGCAAAAATTATACTTGAAACAAAGCGTCAGAAACATGAGATACTCATCTCTCAGACGAGAAGATTCTTCATGAAGAGGTGATGTGTACCGTACACAGGAAACAAGGTTCGCATTGAACGAAAGAGATGAAGCGAATTGGAGGCGCATTGGAAAATATGACTAAGTCGATCTAGATGTTTTAGATGGCTGTTAATTTATTTACATAAATGATAAACAAATGGCGGAATAAAGAGACAGCGACGACAATGACTTCCAAACGGAAAGTAAACACAATGTTAATATGTAAAATAAAAGCAGCAGCGCGGTAAAGTTGTTATTGTTGTTCCCAACACAAATAATTAAACAATATGAATTTAACAGAAAACAAAATTTATACTCACAATGTTCAGTGGACACGTTGTTGTTTCGTTGTACACATCAATTGACACACCTCCGACGTTACTATCGATATGGCTGTTTGGATTTCGCATCTGTTTTGATTTGAACTTCAGCAATTTAACAATGAATCCGTGCGGCTCGGGCGCCTTGAATGTACGCTTACACGGTCCTAATTGTATACGATTCGGTTCTAGATCAAGTACTATGCTCGACTCTTTGCCATTCACGCTGAGCATATGTTCGGTTTCAGCAAAGCAGATCGATTGATGAGACACCGACTGTGATGATTTATAAATTGGTGACACTGTTATGGATGATAAACCAACTCCACCGGCCGATGTCATCACTGAATCACGAGCTGCATTGCACGAGATGAATCATTTTCAGGCAGCAACAGAAACCAGTCAGCACAACGATCAAGCAATGGAGAGAGGGAGATAAAGAGAACAAAGTCATAATTAAAACCGGAACAAAGTTTAATTAGCTGAAAGCGGAAATTGTGATCATTAAAATGTATTCGAGTGTGTTGAAAATGAGCCTTTTGCACATATATGTTGTTATGGTGAAATCCTTGTATTAATATCATTTTTGGAGCTCTCTTCTGCGTTTTCCCCCCCAATATTTATCGTTCTTGGAAATAAATTGAACGAGGTTCAGGGGCATTGTCATTTCATAAAAATATGTGCTTCGTGGAAGACGGCACGCATCCGATCGATGATGAAAATAATATTCAATCTTCACAATGAACTCGATCCACCTCACACTCATACACACACCTACATCATTTAATATTGACATGAATTTCGACTCTTTTTTCGGTCATTTTTACAGCCACATGGCTATAAACAGCACGATTAACCACGAGAAACGGAACGTTCAAACCACCGACTTATTTGCTCTTCGTCATATAATCCATTCAATGCATCGCGCATATACGATCGCTGTATGAAGACGGAGAGGCGAATCAAACGTGTTGCGCTTCTATTAGTTGTGTCGTTTCTGTTGTTTTTGTACATTTCACATATTATATGTATAATTGTATATGCTTCAAAGGCGAGCGCAATTTGCTTTGCTGTTGAAATTTTCGTTTATACACACTATATATAGATATCTATTGTCTGCACACCGAAAAGATGTCATTGAATCAGTTCTATGCCCGTGCGCTCGATTATTAAACATTTTTCTGTGTTTTTTGGTGTTTCTTTTGTTGGTGTAGGTATAAATCGCGCCATAAAATTTGAGGTAAACACACTGGCGAGGTTTAAAGCCTGTTTCTTTTTATCAGCAAAATTTACACATATATATGTATGTGAAATGAAAGTTTTTTTTTTCATCGCTTTCTGCGTCTTCTTCTTCTTTTTCTCTTGCATTTCACACGAGAGCCAAACAACAAGTGAAACAAGCGAAGCAAGCAAGCGCGCTGTGTCAACACTTGTTTACACCAAAGTCCGGCCCGATCAATAAAAGGAGATAATACCTATTTTCGGATCGAATAAGTGCTAAAAATAAACACACATTCATTAAGGAGAACGGCATTAGCTCACTTTTGCCGGTCATTCGTACTTCGAAACGTATCAATATATCGACGTGTATGGGCCTATTCACTGATATGACTGGCAAGTCTCTAATGGCAACAAGATTAGCGAAAACAAAACAAAACACAATTTTACATCGACTTTATTCACATACATTATACTCGCGCCAACTAAACCGTCTAATAAGTGTAACTAATGCTTATGCACATTGCACATAAACACCGTGAGTGATACAGACATGATTTGGCCAAATTGAGCAACAGAAACAAACAGCGTAAATTACCTGCTGCTGCTGCTAAGCGAGTTTCAACTTATTTGCATTATCAATATTTAACATAATTCGTTCAAAATGCATTTTCGATCTCGAATCTCTTCCACTAGCGGAAGCCATTTGTAACGGCGACTTTTTTTTTGTTTTACTTTGATTTGCTTTGTTTATGACAACAAAGACTCGAAAAAATCCACTTACGAATAAGCAACAATGACAACTGGAATGTTGAAGTTTAACGAGCATTGCAAATGACTGTCGTATTAGAATTGGTTTGTATAGAGAGAGAGAGAGAGAGAGAGAGAAATAATGAAAAAAACTCAGTGTATTCAAATTCAAAATTGTTGCTAAATAGATTTTTTTACTTCATAAACCGTAGAACGATTGATCGACCAACAGAAAATGTATGAAATGCAAACAAATGACCGAACTATCGAATCTGAGACATCAAACTCGTTTTGAGTGTTCTGAAAACTGAACAGAGAATGCATTTGGTTTTTTAGCACTACATGAAATGTAGAGCTACTAATCTGCTTCTTTTTTTTCTAAATACTTTTTGAGTGATGAAACAAATTATGGTGAATTTGAATTTTATGCTCATATTTTTTATTTAATTCAAACCAAAGGCTGTATATTTCAAAAAAGAAATAAAACCAAGATCTTGTAATTAATTTCGCAAAATAATATATTACTTCAAAGTTACTTTGATGAAATACATTTCATGTAGTGCGCCAAAAAATATTTTTTTGTGAAACAACAAAATAGATTAAGTAACTAAAAACTCAAGAACGCAGAGCGTAGCGAAGTGAAGCTCTGCGGTCTTGTTTATTTCTCTCTCCTTCTCCTTCTCTCTTGTCATCGTCGTAGTTCTGATCACTGTTTTCGTCCATTTTCGAATTGAATGAACTAGGAATCGTCGAATATTGTTCGTTTCATCGATTAGGATAAGGTCACTCGCCACATTCAATTAGATACAAACTGCTAAAATCAACTAAAACATGAAATCGTTTACATTTTGGTGAGCTACAACCAAAACAATTTGGTTTATATGTGTCGATGCTACGGTAAGAATTATTCTCAAGCTGGGCCGAGCCCAGTCAAGTTGAGCGCACGAGTTAATTCACACACAGAGAGAAGGAGGCGAATGCGTGCGTGCTCGTGCGCGATATCCGTACTGTTTAAATACGTGATAATTAATGATTTTTAATAGCGTCATTTTAATTTATTATTCAACATTCAATATTTGTATATGCTGGCAAGCGAATATGCAATTCCATCGTGGTCGTCGTTGGCAATGGATAAATGCATTTGTGATCAAATGGGCAAACACTTGAAACACAAAATTGGCAAACGCATGCGAATCAAAATTGTCGACAGTTGTTTTTTTATGAGAAGAAAACAAAAGGGAAAAAAAAAATTTAAATTCTTGTCACTTTTTCGTTGTTCAAATTCTTTCAGATGGTCGTGCGGTCGCATATGAATGAGGTTTCCCATTCTTCAAAAGCCGAACGAATCAAAATAAGCTCAATTTGTCACTTGACTGTATCTAAATCAAAAAATTTTGGCCGCAAAATTATTATGGAAAAAAGAAATCCGTACAAATTTGAATGCGCCCAAACACAATATTGAGACGAGAAAAAAAAAACAGAAACAAACGGAATGTAAATTATTATTCGACAGATCGAATGCTGTCGGTAGCTATTTGAATTATCCATTTTAGAATACAAATTTCGCAAATATTACATCATTTTTTGTTTGTTTCTGTTGTTGTTAAAGATTTGGATTTTGCAATTTGCATTGATTCAATGGTTTCAACTCATCCATAAAAATGTCCGTTCATTTTCGATACAATTATACGTTTAGTGCTTCGCGCTAGAGACACAATTGAAATCTGGTTTTTCTCCAGAGATTTGAAAGAGAACGTGCGCTGGCAAAACAGACATTATTGTCGAAAAATGTTCGATTGGTGAGTGTGTGTGACGCATGAATCGCAATTTTTTAATGGTCATGCAAAAGGATGACGTTGAAAAGTGTTTGTCATGGTGTGGTTTTGTTTCAAAAAAATATATTTGAGGAGAAAAAAAATACGACAGAATGACATGTGTTTATGATCCCATCGTAGAGACAATATTCGGGGGGAAAAGCACATACACAATAGTGTGTGATATGTGCGTCATAAAATGTTTGGTCGTCATTAGAAGAAAAAAATTGAATTTCATCAACGTGCAACATATTTTGTGCGTACGTGTTTGGCCAAAAATTTAATCAAATTATTATTGGAAAGTCTCTAAATGGCATAGCACTGATCACAAGAGTATCATTTATTTACGCTGGCTTTTTCGGTTTTTCAATTCACAGTTTTTGTTTTTGTGTTTTTCTTTCTATGTTTTTTTTTTCTGTTTTTATTTTGGTTGCCTCTTCACTTGCGATCTCTTGGCGTTGCGTTTGTGCTGGTCGCGTTCACCAAATAAATGATACGATTGCAGTGTATGCGCGAGAGTGCTTGTCACGCAATGTTAAATTGAGTACATGGTGGTTTTTTCTCTCTCTCTCTCTCTCTCTCTCTCTCTGGGTACTCAAAATAAGCCCGATTTTTTTCGTTGGAAAAGCGACATTACTGAAAAATGAAATTGACATACAAATCCGTTGAATTGCATAGCCCGTATAATCGATTTTGTAAATGTGTGACAAATTCCAAAAAATTAGTCACTTTTTTGTCACTCTCACGCTGTCGCCATTATTGTTGTTGTGGTCGCCACCGTTGTCGTCATCCATTGATATTTCATTGCGAATGCAAACGGTTTCTATATGAGGAGATTCGTGATCGTGTTATTAAAAACACCTATTTGATCACGTACGCTTCCGTTGCCTTCCCGTGCCACACATGAAAAAAATCGAGTTTTTTTTATCGCAAAAAAAATTGCCGGTCGAGTCATTAGAGGCCGTTACTCGATTTATTTTTGTCGAATAGTGTTTCTCAACTTTGGGTTTTTAGAGGAGCGAAAAAACAACGACGAGCGAATCATTTCAACATTATTGGTTTTTTTTTATGTGTGTGTATTCGGCGGAGAGCAGCATAGTACCAAATATCGCGCTAATAATTAAGTGCCATATCGTTTTTATTTTCTTTTATCTCGAAATGTCGTCAAATCGAGATTGAAATTGTTCATACATTCGCTATGCATGTTAAGGCGGCCTTATTTTTTTCTCTTTTCTCTTTCTCTTGATCTCTGTCGCTCAATTGAGTGAGAGAAATTATGTGCGCAACTTTAATAATGAGGCTTTCAATCGAAATTTGTTATTGTTCGGCGACATGCAACTAAAACGAAAAGTGAAACCGTTCTCGCGCCAACAAACTCTCGGCTCGACACTCGCTGCTTTTCTCTCTCCCTCTCGTCATTCATTTCTTTGTCATTAAACGTTGGCGCGTGTTAGTATAATAGTTTGCGTCACTTTCAATTGTCAACTGATGCTGTATATGCCCGGTTTGGTTTTTGTGAATTTTCATGGGCAATTGTAATCGTTCTTTTAGTATGTTCACAATGTGATTTGAAA